GGCCCCCTCCTGCCCCTCACCTCGGGCTTGGGCCCCTCAGGGCTCATCCAGTTCCAGAAGGGGCAGACCCCCACCCCGCCCCCCTTCGAGATCTTCCTGTGCTTTGGGGAGGAGTGGCCGGACCAGAAGCCCAAGGAGAAGAAGCTGATCACGGTGCAGGTGAGGGGCTGGGCTCCCCTGCTGTCCCCGGGGGGACACGGGGTGGTCCCTGCACCGGTGACACCGGGGGCTCCCGCAGGTGGTGCCGGTGGCGGCCCGGCTGCTGCTGGAGATGTTCTCCGGGGAGTTGTCCTGGTCGGCCGACAGCATCCCGCTGCAGATCTCCCACCCCGACCTCAAGGACAGGATGGTGGAGCAGTTCAAGGAGCTGCACCAGCTCTGGCAGAGCCACCAGCGGCTGCCGCCGGCACAGCCCCCGCCCGGCCCCTCCGCCGCGCCCTGGGCGCTGCCACCCGGCCCCCTGCCCCACTGAGGGGACACGGGGGGACACGGGGACACCACGGCACTGCCAGCCAGGCTGACCAGTACCCTGCGGCCGGCCGGGCTGGGGGAGCCAGGCCACCCATCCCTGTCCTTATCCCTGTCCCCCCAGAGCTGCTGGTGACCAGCACCCACGGGTGCTCTGAGGGGCCAGGGCTGTGACCACCCGCCCTGGCTGGAGCGGAGCAGCCGGACCCTTGTCCCTGGCCCCCCCAGGATGTGACACAGCAGGAGGGGGGCTGCCCCCTCCCTCCTCCCTTCCAGGGTTTTGAGGGAAAACAGCAAGAAAACAGGGGCGGGCTGGGGCCACGTTGGATTGGAGCCCCCCAGAGCTGGGGTCACAAAGCAGCCCCAGCCCTGAGAGAAGCAGCAGAGGGGCCTCGGCAGGGTGTTAATTTATCTGTTCAGTTTTTGTCGTTTTTTATTGTTCTCGAGATGGCTACACACCCCCGGAGGGAACCGCATGCGCCCGCCCGCCCTCGAGCCGCTGCCTCCAACCCCAAAATCAAACCAAAGAAAACCCAAAAAAAGGGAAAAAAAAAAAAAAGAAAAACCCAAACAAGAAAACAAACTAAAAAAAAGCAGAACAAAATAAAATATAAATCTCTATTTGCAGAGTCCGTCCTGCCCGCGTCGTCTCCAGGAGTCGGCACCAGGCAGGGCCCGGTGGGCTCAGGGGGCAGTGCCCCAGGGCCCCCCCGACTGACCCCCATCTTCCTAAAAGAATTTGTATTGTTTGTTTTTTGTTTATTGGTTTTTTTGTCTTTTTCTTTTTCTCTTTTTTTTGTCTCCATTTCACAGAAAGTTTGTCTAGCTTCTCGTTTTGCTGCTGGGCGAATCCGTGTGGATCCGCCTGACCCCGGTGCCTGGAGGATCTGGAGTTGGGTGGTGGGGGTTTTCCCCTGTGGGCTGTTTCTCGTGGCGGTGCCGAGATCCGGGTGTGGATCCACCGGGCAGGCGGGACCCCCGGGCCGTCCTCCCGCGGCCCCGGACGCGCTGGAGCGGGCGAGAGCCCTCGGCTGATTGTGGGACACATTCTTGGGTTGCTCTTTCCTGTCTTCTCCTTAAAGACATTCCTGGCAGGGGGAAGGGAGGGTCAGCCCTTGGCCCCGCTGTGCCGGGGTGCCAGCCCGCAGGCAGCAGGGCCTTACCTGGGAGACAGGAGCGTGCGCAGCCGGAGCTATCGGAACAGGCGGGTGAAGTCCCTCAGGGCCCAGCACACTTGTTTACATTCCTCAGCACTGCGAGACAGGGGCTGGCATCAGCGGGTGGCACAGGGGTGACACTGAGGGGACGTTTGTGATGTGGGGAAGGTGTCCTGCCGGGGATGGGAGCTGGGAGCTCGGCTCCGAGATGTTGGGAGAGACGAAGGGACAATTGCTGGGACAGAACAGGCTCAGCAGCCCCGGAGGGGACCCCTGTGCCACCAGAGCGGTGGCCGGGAGGAAGGAACCAGCTCCCCCGGGCACTCGGCCTCCGGGATTTGTCCAGGACCGAGACAGAGCTGGGCAGAGGGAGTCGATGTTCCCACACTGGCCAGAGGCTCCAGGTGGATCCAGCTCTGGCCCCGGGAATGGACAGGCCTGGGCAGGGCCCGGCAGTCGGAGCCGGTGACTCACGGGGACCAGGAGGTGGCTCAGGAAGGGCCTCGGGAAGGGCCGT